GGGGGGGGGGGGACCCAGCCTGTCTGAACCAACGACCTCTATTCGAATCCTCTTGTGCTTAGCAAATTGGGAAGAAAAGTAATGTGGTTTCGTGGAAAATGCCTGATCCTGTGAATTAGATCTAGTTTCTGCATGTGGCACTGGAGGATCTTATACATTGAGTTTCTTATAATTTTTTGAATGTTTTTAATATTTATTTTTGAGAGTCAGAGACAGAGCATGAGCGGAGTATGGGCAGAGACAGAAGGAGACCCAGAATCTGAAATAGGCTTCAAGCTCTGAGCTGTCAGCACACAGCCTGGCATAGGGCTTGAACCCACAAACTGTGAGATCATGACCTGAGCCAAAGTCGGACGCTTAACTGACTGAGCCACCCGGGCAGCCCAGATCTTATGTATTTAAATTCAGGGCCTGGATCTGTTTCTAGTGGAATACCCAGATACCTGCCACTTGTCACTGTTTTGCTTTGAAATGAAGCATACTCAATCTAGAGCCAATCATGGCTGCTTCTGGGCTACATGTAGGTGGGTATTATCTTAACTGTTTCAGACAGCTTTCAGATGATCCTACCTGGAAACAGACACTGTGGTGAATAGAAATTACAGAGAGTCTCTAGGGATTGCCCCAATTCTGGTCCAAATTCTAGGGGGTTCTTGGCACCTCTGGAACATCTCTGCAAATGGACTACAGGCATGTAGCCCACCAACTTACATCTAGCAAGCATTATCTATTTTAACCACAATATTTGTTTAAACTTTTCCATCCCCAAATACTTGTATGGATTCAGACATGCCATTTATTCATTCAGCATGCACTGATTAAGCACCTACTATATGCCAAGCATATGTTTATCATCACTAATAAGCAGAGATATAAAAATTGAAGCATGGTATATTTTTCCCTGACCAATTTTGAAAACAAATCTTCAAAATATCCTTGTTCTGGCATGGTTACAGTGAAACTGGTACACTCTTTTTGAAAGCTTTGGAAATAAGTGTTTAAAAGAGTGGGGAAAATGTTCATACCTGTTGACCCAGTAATATCATTCTTAGCAGTCTATTGTAAGGAAATAAAACCAATCCTGCCCTCAAGAAATTGATACCTTAAGAGGTAAGACAGCAAATAATTGCATTCAGAAACTAAAAAACAGTGATTTTCAAAGACAATTCTTCAAAAGAAGAATGATGAGGGACTAATGCTATTAGATATTAAACATACAAAACTAGAATAATGAAAACATGGTACCACTGGTATAAGATTAGACAGCTGATATTACGGTATGCTCTCCAAAGAGACTTTTACATATAAGAATTCAGTCTATTATAAAAGATGCTTTGCAAGTGAATAGGAGTGGAAAGGATTGTTCAGTAAATGATGTTGTGACAGCTGGTAGCATTTATACCCTCATCTCCTGTAATAAACTAAAAGAAGTGGCAGCTAGATTGAAGAGTTAAATATAAAAAAATCAAATTAAAAAAACTAGAATGAATGGATATTTATCAGGCTTCTGAAGGGAAATAGATTTTCTAAGCTTAGGAAGTAATAGAAAAAATTCCCAAAGGAAAAGATCAACAAATTTAGATATATAAAATTTTAAAACCAAAATAATTTTTAAAAGTTTTGTGGTCATTTAAAAAAAAAGATTTAAACACAGACTAAAAAGGCATATTTGACAAAAATATGACAGAATGTGACAGGTTTATATTTTCTAAGTAAGGCACTTATACAGTATGAAGTATAAGAAATATGGGCAAAGAGCACAAATAGAAAATTTACAAAGGTATTTAAGAACAACTGGAAAACATGGGGCAATGTTCATCACTACTGATCAAAGAAATGCAAATTTAAACAACTAAGTAGCCTCTCTTTAAGCCAGAATTGAAAAAGATGGTACTTATTTGGCTGGTAATAGTGTTTCAGCCCCTTAAAGTAATTTGGTAGCTAATGTGTATTAATGCCCTTTATCTACCTTAGGGATAAGGACTGATGTCCTTTAATCCTACTACTGAGAATATTTCCAGAAAAAATAATGCAAAATATGCAAAAAAACTATTTGCATGGAAGCCTTTATCAGTGTTACTTATGAAACAAAAAAAATTAGAAATAATGTGAATATGTAGTAATAAGGAAATGGTGAATCTACTCCATAGAATATTATGCTATTTTTTAAATGATGATTATGAAGACTATAGAGCATTTCAGAAAAATACTTATGTGTTAATAAAAAATCAGGTTTAAAAATTGTATGCACACTGCAATTACAACTTTATAGAACATACACATATTAAAAAAAACAGTGGGAATAATAATAGTGGCTATATTAGGGTGGCAGAATTATTGATGATTTTTAAAAATGTGTTTCTTTAGTTTGCAAAATTTCTGGAAAGAGATTTTATTACTTTTGCAGCTAAAATATTACCAAAATAAAAAGATGCAAAAAAAAGTTACAGCAAATATTACAGATGTTTAAATTCTTTATTCTAATTGATTTTTTTTTTAGTTTATTTATTTGCTTTTGAGATAGAAAGGGAGAGTGAGAGAAAGAACGAGTCGGGGAGGGGCAGAAAGAAAGGAAAGAGAATCCCAAGCAGGCTCCATGCTGTCAGTGCAGAGCCCAACATAGGGCTCAATCTCACCAACCATGAGGTCATGGCTTAGCCGAAACCAAGTGTCAGATGCTTAACCGACTGAGCCACACAGGCGCCCTTCTAATTGATTTTTTAAAACGCTAAAATGTAGATAAATGGACAAAAGACATGAACAATTCACAAAAGAGGAAACAAATAGTAAATAAACATGAATAAATATTTAGCATCACTGATAATTATGGGAAGAGAGATTGAAATACAGTATATACATGTATACATTTTTCTCCTCCCAGATTTGAGCTGAAGGAAGA